TAATTAGGCCAGAAATAATGTGACTGTATGCAGTTTTGACCCAAGTGAGTACATATAGGTTAGTACACAAATTATTACATGTAGGTGAGTTCCACTATGTCACTGAGTACACAGGAGAATACATAGAGATGAATACAACTAGATAAATACTCTTACTCTCAAAGAACTGGTGGAGCTGGCCAGCACCTGCTGCCTCTCACTTTCATGGTATATATAACTGAGCTTTCACTGCTAGCGTCACTGTGGACAAGACAGGGATGCCAAGATCCTTTCCCAGTCACTTATCTATACCCCGTCCCTCCTCACGTTGTGCCCCTCTTCACCACCATCCATTCCCAACCCTCCCAAACACACACTTCCATCATTCCCCTTTCCTGAGAGACGATAATTCCCGGGTAACACAAACAAGCGCTCTGCTGGAATCAAACTTGGAAGCTGCTGAGGCAACTGAACTTGTAAGAGGAATGCTTAAGAGCCGCTTCAGTTTCCCAGTCTCCTAATATCATGTTTATTTTTCCCCGTATAATCTACCTTGTTCACAATTACTATCGCATTTGCTTTGTCTGTTTCGTAAGGTGAAGCCCAAGATCTTTGATAACAATTATGTTGCAGAGATGTGAGCAAAGCTCACATCTCTGCAACATAATTGTTATCAAAGATTTGTTAAGCTATACCATGAATTAAGGAAAGATCCTGGACTTCACCTTACGAAACAGACAAAGCAAATGCGATAGTAATTGTGGACAAGGTAAAGTATACAGAGAAAAATAACATATTATTAGAAGACGGGGGAAGTGACGTGTCTCTTAACGTCATCTTCATCACCATACTGACGTCTCTTAGCTCAGGCTGAATGACTTCGTTAGGCAGCTGACGGTGTGTAACACGCAATCAGCCAACTTTTGTTTCCGCTGTTTTTCTGTCATAGAGTATGATAGCTGCTGATGTATCTAATTCTGCGCAGGTAAAATGTACGTGTGTGTGTGTGTGTGTGTGTGTGTGTGTGTGTACTCACCTAATTGTGGTTGCAGGGGTCGAGACTCAGCTCCTGGCCCCGCCTCTTCACTGACCGCTACTGGTTCCTCCCTCTCCCTTCTCCATGAGCTTTATCATACCTCGTCTTAAAACTATGTATAGTTCCTGTCTCCACTACATCACTTGCCAGACTATTCCACTTCCTAACAAGTCTGTGGCTGAAGAAATACTTCCTAACATCCCTTTGACACCCTTTGTGTGTGTGTGTGTGTGTGTGTGTGTGTGTGTGTGTGTGTGTGTGTGTGTGTGTGTGTGTGTGTGTGTGTGTGTGTGTGTGTGTGTGTGTGTGTGTGTGTGTGTGTGTGTGTGTGTGTGTGTGTGCGCACAGGTTGAAGGTGACACAGCAGTTCATGATGGTGAGAGAGTTGCGAAAACTATGGACTTTTCCGTGAGAACTTCACATACTCAGATGGGTGGACACACACACACACACACACACACACACACACACACACACACACACACACACACACACACACACACACACACACACACACACACACACACACCAGTGAAGAGGCGGGGCCAGGAGCTTGGACTCGACCCTTGCAACCTCAATAGGTGAGTACAACTAGGTGAGGTACACACACACACTCACACACACACAACACACACACACACACACACACACACAACACACACACACACACACACACACACACACACACACACGCACACACACAGATGCACAGTGTAGTATTTGTAATCAGAAAGAAAAGAAGCAATTTTTCCCCCTGTGAAATTGCGTGGTTAACCACAGACAACTGACTACCAGAGGTTCATCAGTTTCTCTGTCTGGAGGTGTGGAGGACTCTCGTGTTTGTCTGGAGGTGTGGAGGACTCTCGTGTCTGTCTGGAGGTGTGGAGGACTCTCGTGTCTGTCTGGAGGTGTGGAGGACTCTCGTGTCTGTCTGGAGGTGTGGAGGACTCTCGTGTCTGTCTGGAGGTGTGGTGGACTCTCGTGTCTGTCTGGAGGTGTGGAGGACTCTCGTGTCTGTCTGGAGGTGTGGAGGACTCTCGTGTCTGTCTGGAGGTGTGGAGGACTCTCGTGTCTGTCTGGAGGTGTGGAGGACTCTCGTGTGTGTCCGGAGGTGTGGAGGACTCTCGTGTGTGTCCGGAGGTGCGGAGGACTCTCGTGTGTGTCCGGAGGTGTGGAGGTCATGTTTGTGGCTTGCATGAGAAGTGGAGGTCACGTTTGAGGCCTGTATCACCTTTGTGTTTTGTAGAGGTGCTGATGTCACATTTATGACATCTTCATGGAAGTATTGAGGTCACCTTTGTGAATGTATGGAGGCGTTGAGGTCACCCTTGTGTATCTATGGAGATGTGAAAGTCACCTTTGTGGCTGTATGGAGGCGTGGAGAGCCCCATTGTGTCTGCACAAAGGTGAAGACAGATCTGTTGGAGGCTGAGGTAGATGAAATACCAGAGAAAAACTATGAGAGTTTGTCAGAGTTTAGGTCAGTTCTACAGTAAATGCTAAAACTTTAGGTCCATCCTACAATAACTGCTGAAAGTTTAGGTCTATCCTACAATAACTGCTGAAACTTTAGGTCCATCCTACAATAACTGCTGAAAGTTTAGGTCCATCGTACAATAACTGCTAAAAGTTTAGGTCCATCCTACAATAACTGCTGAAAGTTTAGGTCCATCCTACAATAAATGCTGAAAGCTTAGGTCCATCCTACAATAAATGCTGAAAGCTTAGGTACTTCCTACAATAACTGCTAAAAGTTTAGGTCCTTCCTAAAAAATAATTAATTAACGTTTGGGTTATTTCTTCAGTAACTGAAGAAAATTTAGGTATTTCCTACAATAACTACTGAAAGTTAAGGTTTTCCCCACAGAACTATGCTGAGAGTTTAGGTTCTTTCTAAATTAACTACTGGAAGTTTAGCTCTTCCATCACTAACAATGCTGTAAGTTTAGGTGTTATACAAAGTATATGAACTGAAAGCCAAAGTTCCTCTTGGTGTAAGTTTTTGTCCTTCCTTCTGAAACGTTACGTCCGTCCTGTGGTAACAGTAAAAGTGAACGTCATTCTATCAGTAACAATGTTGTACTGAATAGTAATAGCAAGAGCCCCCAGAGGTGGGAGAAATTGCAGTTTAAGACCTTACAGTGTTATTGAAACCGTACAGTATTTTTTGAGACCATACAGTGTTTTTGAGACCATACAGTGTTTTTGAGACCATACAGTGTTTTTGAGACCATACAGTGTTTTTGAGACCATACAGTGTTTTTGAGACCGTACAGTGTTTTCGAGACCGTACATTGTTTTTGAGACCGTACATTGTTTTTGAGACCGTACATTGTTTTTGAGACCGTACAGAGGACCTTCACTATATATTTAAATTCAGTCAAGCACATGAATTAATGTGAAATCTCTTGAATTGTTCTCCTGGGAACATAAATACATCATAATCTACACTTGGAGAGTTCTGCCGGATTGATCTTAAACCTGCACACCGATATCACTTCACATGCAAGCAACAGGCTTGGCAGGTGGTTCAAAATATCCTCAATGAAGAGCAGGGTTAGTGTGAGTACACTAAGCTGCATCTCAGTAAGTGTAAGGGGACCAGGACTCTTCAATATCCTCCCTACACGAGTAAAGAGAATTACCAACAAACCCCTGGAAAATTCTTTCAGTCAGTTTCTGCTCAGCAGGGCTAGTGGTGCAAGCGTTGGTCTGCGTGCAACAGCCTGGTCAGTCAAGCCACCAACCGGGAAGCCTGGTCTGGGACCGGGCCGAGAGGGGGTTCTGACCCCAGACTACAGGTAACATACAGCTAACATACAGGTAATCTTTCCTACAGTATATTAAGAGTATAGGTCCTTCCTACCAAGTATACTAAAAGTATAGCTCTTACAGCAGTTACACTATATTGCTACAGCAATATATATTAGTACAGGTACTTTCTGAAGTACCTATACTGAAAGTTTACGTCATTCCTACAGTAGTTACTGAGAGTTTAGGTGCTTATTGCAATCTTATTGAAGAAGTTAGCACTTCCTACGGTGACCAAAAATAAAAGTTTAGGTCCTTCCTACCGTAGCTATTGAAAATTTGGAGGTTATAGTGACCTTAATGTTTATGTTCCATCTGTGGAGACCACATTGTAAGTGTAGGTCCTTCCTGCAATAATGAGACGAGGTTTAGGTCCTTCTTACTGAGGCCTAAGTGCAAGTTCGGGTTCTTCGGTGACCGAACTCTGCATTTAGATTCTTCCTACAGATATCAAATTGTAAGTTAGGTCCTTCCTGAGGTGACGAGACTAAGTTTAGGTACTTCTTACGGTAACCAAATTAAGTTTAAATCCTTTCTACAGAGACCAGAGTGTGCTTAGGTTATTCCTAAAGTGACCGGACTAAGTTTAGGTCCTTTCTACAGAAACCGCCCTAATTTTAAGTCCTTCCTACGGTGACAAGGCTGTAGGTTTAACTTCCCTACAGAGATCAGAAGGTTTATATCCCTCCGACGGTGATAGGATTTAGGTCTTTCTTACGGAGACCAGACTATGTTTAGGTTCACCAAAGAGACCGAACTGTAAGTGTATATCCTGTTTACAACAAACACATTTAAAGGCAGAAATTTAGAGCGGTGGTTCCAGCACCCCGCTGTGAGCATTACATAGTTAAGATAGAACGATGACAGAACAAAGCTGGAGAGATGAAGTAGGTCTCTCCCTATAAATTCTCCTCACGAACGTATATCACTTTCACAAGATTTCCACACTGGTCTCTCGCTATGTAGCGAGACGAAGACGCTACCCAGGGGGAGATTCAACAAGACACTTGCATTTTGTCCGGATTGCTTGGAAATCCGGATACCCTGGAGTCTCACAGTTCAGGTAACCCAAACTTGGTGTATCACTGCGCTTCACTGAGTTACAAGAAGGTGGCTCCAGGGGTATATCTCTGGAGTTACAGTGAGTGAGGGAGCAAGAGGAGGCGGTACCTACCTAGTGGTGGAAGGTGCAAGTGTGTACCAACACACCTCGCACCTGCCTTATATACTCGACCCCACCTCCCCGCTAACCTTGTGGTGGCTGCACCACCCCCACCCCAGCCAGAGCACCCACCTCTTTTACACCACCACCACCACCAGCATCACCACCAATCCTCCATCACCACAGACATAGTCTTACATATCCCTGTTTGCGTACGAAGTGCAGGTAACGAAGAGAATAAATATTGTACTGGAAGGGGAGGCTACTCCAGGTCCTGGACACACTACATGAAGCCTCACACCAATAGTTATTATACCTACCTACCAGCCACCAAGTACAGCATTATGTTACTCTGGGAGTTAGGGAGAAGACCGCATGCGGAGTACACACCGTAGAGACACAAGCTATAACACACACACCATGCAAGTGTTTTAGTAGAAAACATATCACCAGCTTATCACAAAACATATCGTCAAGCATATCAAGAAGCATATCATCAAACAATTTTTATTTCCCCCCCCCCTTTTTTTTTTTTAAAAAGGAAATTTTTTTTTAAAGGTTTTTTAAAATTTTTAAAAAAAAAAAAAATTTTTTTAAAACCCAAAAAATTTTTGGGGTTTTTTTTTTTTTGGGGAAAAAAAAAAAAAATTTTTTTTTTTTTTTTTAAAAATTTTTTTTTTTTTTTTTTTTTTTTTTAAAAAAAAAAAAACTTTTATTTAAAATTTGTTTTTATTTAAAAAGGGGGAAAAATTTTTTTTTTTTTTTTGGGGGGGTTTTTTTTTTTAAAAAAAACCAAAAAAAAATTTTTAAAAAAAAATTTCCCTTTTCCCCTTTTTTTTTTAAAAAATTTTCCCCCCAAAAAATTAAAACCCCCAAAAAAAAAAACCCCCCCCCCCTTTTTTTTAAACAAAAATTTTTTCCCCCTTTTTTTTAAAAACCCAAAAAAAAAAAAAAAACCCCCCCCCCTTTTTTTTTTAAAAAAAAAACCCCTTTTTTTTCCCTAAAAAAAATTTTTTTTTTTTTCCCCTTTTCCCCTTTTTTTTTTTTTTTTTTCCCCCCAAATTTCCCTTTTTTTAAAAAGGGGAATAAGAACCCGGGGGTTTTTTAAATTTTTTTTCCCCAAAGTTGAATTTTTTTTTAAAAAATTTTTTTTTAAACCCCGGGGGGGGTTTTTTTTTTTTTTTTTTTCCCCCCCCCTTTTTTTTTAAAAATTTTTAAAGTTTTTTTTTAAAAAAGGGGGGTTTTTTTTTTTTTTTTAAAAACCAAAATTTTTTTTTTTAAAAATTTTAATTTGGGGGTTTTTTTTTGGGGGGTTTTTTTTTTAAAAAAGGGGAAATTTTTTTTTTAAAAAAATTTTTTTTTTTTTGGGTTTTTAAAAACCCAAAAAAATTAATTTTTTTTTTTTTTTTAAATTTTCCCCAAAAAATTTTCCCAAAAAAGGAAATTTTTTTAAAATTTTTTTTGGGGGGGGAAAATTTTTTTGGGGGGTTTTTTTTTGGGGGGGTTTTTTTTTTTTTTTTTTTAAAAAAAAAAAATTTTTTTTTAAAATTTTAAATTTTCCCGGGTTGGGTTTTTTTTTTGGGGGGCCCTTTTTTTAAATTTTGGGAAGGGGGAAAAAAACCCCCCCCTTTTTTTTTTTTTTTTGGGGGGGAAAAAAAATTTTAATTTTTTTGGTTTAAAAAAATCCCCAAAGGGTTTTTAAAATATAAGGGGTTTAAAAAAAAAAGGGGAAAAAAAATTTTTTTTAAAAAAAAAAAAAAAAAATTTTTTTTAAAAAAAATTTTTTTTGGGGGAAAAAAGATTTTTTTAAACCAACCCCAAAGGAAAAAAAAATTTTTTGGGGGTTAAAAAACCCCTTTTTTTTTTTTTAAAAAAAAAAAAATTTTTTTTTTTTAAAAAAAAAAGGGCAAAACCCAAAAAAAAATTTTAAAAACCCAAAAACCTTAAACCCCCAAATTTAAAATTTCCTTTTCCCCAAATTTCCCCCCCTTACCCCAAAAAAAAATTTCCCCCAAATTTTTTTTTTCCCCCCCCCCCCCAAAAAAAAAAACCCCCCCTTTTTCCCCCAAAAAAAAAATTCCCAAATTCCCGGAAAAAAGGTTTTAAAAAAATTTTCCCGAAAAAAAAACCGAAAAAAAAAAAACCATTTTTTTCCCGGCCCCCAAAAGGTTTTTTAAAGAAAACCCCCCCCCTTTCCCCCAAAAATTTTTTTTTTCCCCCAAATTTTAAAAAAAATTTTTTTTTTAAAAAAAAAAAAAAAAGGGGGGGGCCCCCAAAAAAAAAAAAATTTTTTTCCCCAAAAAAAAAATTTCCCCAAAAAAACCCCCTTTTTTCCAAAAAAAAAAAAAAAAAAAAAAACCCCTTAAAAAAACCCAAAAAAAAGGGCCCCCCCAAAAATTTTTCCCCGGGCCCAAAATTTCCCAAAAACCCCGGGGGGGGGGTTTAAAAAAAAATTTTTCCCCCAAAAATAAAAAACCCCCCCTTTTTTTAAAAACCCCCCCCCCCCAAAAAAAACCCCCCGGAAAAACCAAAAACCATTTTTTTTTAAAAAAAAAAAAAACCCAAAAAACCCAAAAATTTTCCCAACCAAGCATACCCACCAAGCATATCCCCAAGGAAAAACCAAAAGGAATAAAAACCAAAGCATATCACCGGGGAAACCACCAAGCATTTCCCCAAGCTTATCCCCAAAGGAAATTTCCCACCCGGGAATTCCACCAAGCATTAAACCAAGCATACCAAAAACCCAAAGCATTTCACCAAGCAAAAATCACCAGGAATACCCCCACAAAAACCCCCAAAAGCAACCCCCCAAGCCCACCAGTTACCCCCAAAGCATAACCAAAGAATCCCCCAAGATTATCACCAAAATTTCTCTCAAAGCTTTCCAAAGCCTATCACCGAATCCCCCCAGAAAAACCCCAAAGGGCAAACCACCAAACATATAAAACCGGGAAATCCCAAACCAAGCTTTTCACAATTTTTAAAAATAAAAAACCAAGCATACCCAAAGCATAACCCCGGGAAAAACCCCCAAGCATACCCCCCCAAGCAAAACAAAAAGGTTACCACCAGGAATAACCCCCAAGCATTCCCCCAAAAATATAAACCAGGAAAACCACCAAGCATAAAACACAAAACCCCAAAGGATCCCCCCAAAGGAATAAAAACCAAAGGGAAATACCCCCAACCCATACCACAAGAATATCACCGGGAAAACCCACCTAGCATACACCAAAAGATATCACCAAAGGCCAAAATATCACCGGGAAAATACCCCCAAGAATAAAAAACCAAGAAATACCCCAAGAATACCAAAAAGCTTTCCCCCAGGAAAAACCCCAAAGCACCCCCCCCCCCAACCATATCACCCAAGGAATACCCCCAAGCTTTCCCTTTCACCAGGAATACCACCAAGCATATCCCCAAGCATTCCCCAAGCATATCCCCCAGGAATCCCAAACCAGGAATCCCAAAAGCATACCAAAAAAAAGCTATCCCCAAAGGAATATCCCCAAGGGAATAACACCCAAGCATAAAACCGGGAATTCCCCCAAGCATTTTACCAACAAAACACCGGGAATTTCCACCAGGAATACCCCCAAGGGTATCCCCAAAGGCTTTACCACCAGGAATAAAACCAAAAGCATTAAAACCCCCACCAAGCATATAAACCAAGCATACCCACAGGAATACCCCCAAACCCAAAGCTTATCCCCTAAGCATATCACCAGGAAAAAATCCCCAAGCAAAACATCAAAGCATTTTCCCCAAAGGAATACCCCCAAAAGCATATCCCCCAAGCAATTCCCCAAAGGATTTCCCCAGGAAAAACCACCAGGAAAAACAAAAAGGGATACCCCCAAAGGGCATTTCCAGGAATATCACCCAACATATCCCCAAGCATATAAACCAAAATTACCCCCAAAGGGCTTTCCCACCAAGCTTTATCAAAAGGAATACCACCGGGAATATAAACCCCAACTTTTCCCACCAAGCTATCACCGGGAAATTAAAACCAAAGCTTTATCCCCAAAAGAAAATCACCGATACCCCAGAAAAACCCCAAGCATATAAACCATGCATATCCCAAGATATCCCCAAAGGAAAAAATATACCCAAGCATATCACACCAAAAAGGAAAATTACCAAAAAACCACCAAGCATACCCAATCATAACACCAGGAAAACCCCCAACCCTTCACCAAGCAAATCCCCAAATACCACCAAGCAAAATACCAGGAATACCCCCAAAGTAAAAAACCTTCAAAGCATATCCCAGGAATACCCCCAAATTTCCCCCTACCCAAGGGCATATCACCGGGAATACCACCAAGCATTCCCCCCAATGCTATCACCGGGAATACCCCAAGCAACCCCCCCCAAAGCTTATAAACCAAGCTTATCCCCAGGAATACCCCCAAAGCAAAATCACCCAAGCATATCCCCGAAGAAAAAAACCAAAGAAAATATCACCAAGCATAAATAAACCGGGAAATTTTCCACCAAGCATTCCCCAAGCAATCACCAGGAATATCCCCAGAATACCCCAAAAAGGGAAATTTTACCGGGAAATTTACCCCAAGAATTCACCAAGTTTGTCCCCGGGGGCATTTTCCCAAGAAAAACCGGTTTCCCCAAACCCCACAAACCTTTTCCTGGGGTCATTTGCATTTTTCCACCCCTTCCCCAATTTAAAAAAAACAATAAACCAAGATTTTTTTTGCAATCCCCGGGAAAATAAACAGACAAAATCCCCAACAATCAAAAATTTAACCCAACAATAAAGAAATCCCCTTTTCCCAATTAAAAAATTAAACCATATTCCCAGGGAAAAATCCCCAAGAAAAAGTTACCGGAATACCCCCCCGGTTTCCCCTTATTCCAGGAATAAAATTTTTTCCCAACAAACCAAGTATAAACCCCCAATACAAAACCACCAAAGCTTCCCCCAACACCCAGGTATCCAAACAGCACCAAGAATTCCCCCAAATTCCCAACACCTTTAACCTTTTAACCAAAAAACCCCAAGGTACCCCAACAACCCCAA